GTGTGAAAAAAAGTTTATTAGGACCAATGATCTTTCTGTGAGGACTGCTAAAAACCAAAGCCTTCACCCACATACCATATACTGAGTTCGTTTTCTCTTTCTCTTTTGCAAGGTCTCTGCCTCAGAGATTAAAAATATCAACCTTTCTTACACCATAAGTGTTGTGGCCTCGGAGGATCCAGACTGAATGAATACATGGTGCCCCGTGACTTGACTGCAGGACAGCCTGTAATTAATGAATCCAAGGGCAAATTTATTCTAATTTTACACGTTTTCCAAGTTCATAGCTTAATACAATCCACACTAGGCTTGCTCACCTTGCTGGGCTGAGTACACTGGAATTTGTAGTCCAATTTACAAGGTTACACGGCTGGCCTTGCTCTGAAGGCATAATCTCATCCTAAATTCACTATCATCTCCACTTCGTGAAACTCAAGCTGTTCGACCTTAATAACTGTGATGGGTGTTTCTATGTGCCCATAGATGAGGGTGACTGGGCTGCCTACAGTTCATTTCAAATCAAGAACGCAATTGTGAACAAAGGGGAGAACAAGCCTATTTCTTCTGGGAAGGCAACGTTACCAAACCTACAACGATCACTTTTTTCCTCACTTGCACTTTACTCTTCACGCTATCACTTCCAGGAAACAGAGGTAGGCAAGGAGACAGAATGTTTTCTTCCTATTTGAGACTGAAGTGGAGATACTTCATTGGTGTTAGAAGTTCAATTATATAAAAGCAGTATTTTTTGTTTCAAAAGCAAGAGTTTTCCAGAAAATGAAAAAGTCTAATTAGGTGGTTTATTTAATGTTATTTTCCCACTTTTATGGATATATATATATATACACACCATAGGAAAAAAGATATAAAACTATACACCGAGGAAGTTACAATGATTCTATAAATAATTCTTCAGTAATAACAAAAAGTCACGGATATACACACATACAGAATATATTCCAGTACAATTAAGGAATGTTTTCTTTATAACAATAAAAAGATAAGTAATAAATACAACAAATAACAATGATAGTGATCTCAGCTCACTTAATATCCTCTGTGTAATGCATCTGATAAAAATTATGTAAAAACAGAAAAAGACTTGTGTACATGCAAAGAAACAAAAAGCAAAGTATAAATAGCACAAATGAAATATGCAATTACGTGTATATGTAGGACTAGGAGACTATAAGTAAAATCAAAATTGCTTATATTAGGGTGGGGAGATAAAGAAGGAATTTCCTTTCTCAATGTTTGCTTTTTGTTTCACATCATGTGGCCAATTTTTCGATATTTACTTATTTAAAAAGAAGAAAGGGATAGATTGACTGTCCTAAATTTGGTTTCAAGTTGCTTTTAATCAATTTCAAGTCTTAAATTATGTTCCTTCATTATTGTTCATTGTAAGTGAGTTGTCTTTCTGTAGTACTCATTGCAAAACATGTGCTCATTAAGGGACTTTTGGCACCCAGGATAATTCACCAAAAGCACTCAACTTACCAGGGGTTTTCAAGGGGGGGATTTCCTTATTCAGGTTTCAGGCCATCTCTTAGAAAACAGTTATTCACTCCAACTGGCAGTTATCCCATAGTGATCTGGCTTCTCTAAAGCATTCTAATAGCCTTCAGAGAGATTCTGTTCAAATTCTGACACTATCACTGTAAGATTATTTGGAAGTAAATCACTTGTCCCGTGTCCCAAAGAGCTTCCTCGGAGAGGACATGTGAATCCCAGTTCCTCTTTGCCTCTGTTTCATCGTTTTCTCCCTCTAAACTCAGTGCAAGAAATAAAACTTTTTCCAAATGAAATTCTAGTTTGCTGCTAAGGATAACATACAGCACAGATGTTAGAGAAATTTCATTTGTCTAACTACAGCCAGGAGCCAGGATCCTGATGGTCTCCATACATCAATTTAATTCTTGTTTCTCAATCTTGCCATCATTTGTAAATTTGTGCTTTTCTATCCTGGTCCTTAATGTTTTAATTTATATTTCATAATTTTATTGTACTCACAAGACTTTTCGAGTCCTTTGTGATTAAAGTACAGCCCATTCAAAATCAAAGAGAAATAGCCCATTTGATATTTCTTGGGTTGCTTTAAGAAAACTTATTTAATTATAAATTAAATAATTATTCTTTATTTTCCTCCTAAAACTATTCCGTATGGTTACTGGTAAATGCGCTGTTTTATTTTCCAAATACCTTCTCCTTTCCTTTGACCATAATTTTAAGATAATTGTTCTAAGACATGTAAAAGATAGGAAACTGGCTGCCTAGTGATTGCCTGGCCAATGTGCTGAAAACCTATAAGGTTTCACGCATCATTTAAAAATATATATATACCCACAGTCATTTCTCTAACAAATTTGGAAGTAAGTTTGACTCTTTATCTGTCTCCTTCAGAAATTTGTGAATATTTTGGGATTTCAAACTTACTTGTTGTAGGCACTGTGGAAAAAATACCCAGAAATAGGGGAAGAAAACCTAACTCCAAGAGGATAGAGAAGAAAAAAGAAGCAAAAAGATGAAGATGGGTATATTTGCTGACTGTAGGTAGCATCAGCGACAGAGCACTAGGAAAAAAAGAGAGAGAAAGCAGAAAAAAAAAAAAAAAAACAGGAAAAAAGCACCTCTCACCATACACCTCCAGACCATAAATATAATTAAACAATTTTCTTCTGTGTTCCAACTAATTAGCATTTCACTTCCTCCATTTTATTAATTTTATTCTATTATTTACTTACTTGAGACAGTCTCACATTGTCTCCCTCAGTAGAATACCATGGCATCACGGCTCACAGCAACCTCAGACTCTTGGACTTAAGAGATTCTCTTGCCTCAGCCTCCCAAATATCTGGGACCGCAGGCCCAGGCCACAACACCAGGCTATTTTTAGAGATGGGGTTTGACTCTGGCTCAGGCTATCCACTGGCCTTGGCCTCCCAGAGTGCTGGGATTACAGGCTTGAGCCATTGCTCCCAGCCTATTTATTTTATTTCTTGCTACTAGTAAGGTAGCATTACTTAGGGTGAGGGCACGGAAAGCAAGCATTTTCTGGAGAGACACACAAGGTACCACAACAGTGTGAAAACTACAAGAGCAAAGGGCATGATGTTATGCTACTCCGTCACAAAGCAGGGTTCCATGTAACGAAATTTGAAGGATCATATTAGAGGAGAAAAAATGGAAGATATACTACAAAGTGTAAACAATGAATATATAGATGATAGAGTCACATCTGAGTTTTGAAATTTAACTCATTTGTATTCATAAATTTTACTTAATAAACCTTAATTTCCTAGGCCGCATATCATATATAAATATAATAAATTATACTTAATTTATAATATTATAGATATTATAATAACATGTATATATAAACAAATGTGTGTGTGTGCGCCTACGTGTACATTCAGAAATGCAGCTTCCTTGGTGCTTTAATATACATCAGCCTCTGGTAAAGATGCTATTGTGCAAAAGGGAAGCATAGCTCCAGGCTTTCACAATTCTATTTCCTTTGCTATCCAAGAACAAAAGGAGATTTTCAAAAGCAACCAACACTGTAACAGTGCAGTGGTTAATAACAAGGGGAAAAGGGGTGTGGTCAGAGGTTCGTGTAAACTGTCTCTCGATTTTTTAAAATTTTGAATATTAACTTCTCTCAATGGATGTTTCTGAAGGAGCCCAAATACTGCACCTTTTTTTTTTTAGTTATAAAATGGTCCCAGACATGACTGCCTTTTAATTTTGCTCTTGGCGTAATCTAAAAATCAGACGCACTCAGCAAACGGACTGAGCTTTGGAATTAAATCTGAGTTCAATCCCACAGACTGGCTGTGTCATCTCAGTTTTATTACTTAAGCTCTCTGAGCCCCGTTTCGCCATCTGTAAAATGGAGATGAGGACATCTTCCTCACTACAGGGGCTGCTGTGAGAAAAGACTGAGATCATATTTGCAAACGCTCCTATCTGTGTGTCTGGTACTCTGCTGGGACCCAATGAAATAAAAATCCATGGACTGTCAGAGGCTTCAGCACTCCAAGGAGCCTCTGGGATCCTAGTCCCTTCGATGAGCCCTCACCAAGCTGGCGTTTGAGCCAGGGACTCTGCAGAAGAGGCTGCTCAAGTTTTTAGGCCACACTCAGGCGCCAGATTCGCTGGCTGTGAGGACGGTTAACCACCTACCGGAGCAGGGAGGCCAAGCAGAAAGTACCGTGGGAGGGCAAACTAAGAAAGGGTGAAGAGAAAGAGAAGGGCTGGAAAGCAAAACAAAATTTAACCACTGAGGCAGTGACTTACGGTCTTAAGGAGAAAAATTCCCGGAAGAGAAACAAGTTTCTTTTTCTGTGTTGTAATCAGAAGGTAAACAAGCCTCCGGAGACGCATTCAGCGTCAAGATAACTTTTTAAAGAAAGAAACGGTGCCTTCCGAAGCCTTAGGTTTAACCACTACCGCATCGAGAAGTGTCAGAAAGGAGCCCCGCGCGCTCCGCAGATGCTCCCACCGCCCCGGCCCCCGGCGCGCACACGCCCACCCAGCCGCACCTACGCGGATCAGTGGGCTGGGCATGTAAGGACTTGTCCAGAAGATCCCCTCCTTCAGCCGGGATCCCCTCCAGCGACCAAAGCCTCCCAGGCTCCAGCCCTACCCCCTGTCCACGCCCCTCCACCCGCTCCCACCACTTCCCAACTTCGCTCATTCACCGGAGCGCGGGAGCTGCCCAGTCTGTCCCGCGGGGTCATTTCGTATCAATACCCAAGAAGAGCGAGTCCCCAGCTTCCGGGGCACCCAGGCCGGAGGGAAGTCGTCCTAGGAGGTCCGGAGAGCCAGTCTGCCCAATGCCGGCTCACGGCTGGCGGGCGGTGTCCGATGCCCACGCGTTCCTGCCCTAGCTGCCGCCGCAGCCCCAGAGCGCACCCCGCGCCCGCCCCGCATCGCGGAGCGAGGAGAAACCCCCACCCGGGCAGGAGAGGGCTCACTAGGAGCAGGAGGGGACTCACCAGCGGCAGGAGGACCCAGATCCTCGGCATGGCTGGGGAGGTGAAAGGGCCTCTCCAACTCCAAGCTGAGCCGGTCACCCGCTAGCAGAAGTGACAGCTCCGCCCGGCCCCTGCTGGAGCTCCTGCTGGCCGAAGGGTGTGTTCCCGGCCAGGGCCCGCCCCCGGCGCTCCCGCAAAGTTGCTTTCAAACCGCTTCCCTTCCTCCTCAGAAGCGTCTTTGCACACCTGTGGGCCGCTTTTCCGCGAGACCAGAGACGACCTAACGAAAAGCCCCCGAGGTCGGGAGGAGGAGGAGGAAGCCTTGCTGGGGAACGCCCGGGTTGAAGAGGGCTCCATTGATTCAGCAACTTAGCTCGCGCCGCCAGGGGGGTGGGGAGGCAGGGTGGGGGCAGAGTCAGGGTTTGTTGCACAAACGGGCATTCCCCGTGCTGGGGCATTTCCGCGGTCTGCTGGCGGGATCAGCTCAGGTGAGGACTGGGGAGCTGGCCCGCCGCCCTTTCCAAAAGTTTCTGCAGTGGTTCAACCTGGAAAGGGGGAGGGGCTTGGACAGAGCCTGGAGTTCTGAGCTGGAGTCCCGCCAGGGCGCAGGAACCTTAGCTCACCGCTGGAGACCGAGGAAGACCCGGGCTTTGACTCAGCGCCCCATATTGTGGCTGCAAACTGAGAGGTTCACGGGAGTCCCTGAATAGTGTACGAAGTGACGCTTGTCATACTAAAAGGTACAGCTATTGTGCCAAGGGACTTTGTAAAGGCCCCTTAGGTTTTCTCAAGAAGAGAACAAAGTTAACTACTTATGACAAATTACTTCCTCTCCTTTGTTACTCATTATTTCCTGACCAGTTTTTTTTTTTAATTCTTATAATTGTTTAGTTCTCTGGTTAACACGGTTCAAATTCAGTATATATTTCTTTAAATAGTTTTGCATGCATTTTGCAGGAGGTAACTTTGTATGATGACATGGTTCATGAGTATGCCTTTGGCCTCCTCATCAACTGCTACCCAGACCTTGCTCTGCCTCCCCAGTTAGAATCATCCCTTTAAGAACACATTTCTCTCCCTCCCTTTGCCTTTGGGCTTTCTCTTAGAGACATTTTCTTCCAGAGGCCTTTCCAGGGCTCCAAATGCAGGTTAGGTTACCCTGCTGAGTGCTTTCAGTCAGCCTGGGCTGTGCACCTGTCACTACACTCATCATGCAGTCTTGCAGGGGTTGGCTGGCTTTGTCTCACCTTCCAGTAGATTGTTAGTGCCAGTGTCCTCACACTGAAGAGCAAGTGACAGACACAAGAAGCAGCAAGTGGGTTGGGGAGACTGGAATAGGGGCACTCTCTGTATCATCTCTGCAACTTTTGCACAAATCTCAAACTAGTTTCAAATGACAATTTAATTTAAATTTTAAAATATTATGAAAAGAAGGAAGGGGGAAGGGAAGAGAAGAAGAAATGAAAGGAGGAAAGAGAGAGAGAGCACACAAGGAAGAAAGGACAGTTAACAAAACCAACATCTCTTGCTCGGGAATTACGAGCCAACAACTTTCACAAAGGGTTCTTCCTTGTTGAGTGCTCAGCATTATAGCCCAGGGAGGTGGGTGATAATTAAACTTACTTTGTAAATTAAGAATTGTAGCCAAAAAGCTTAAGCAATGTTGGCAAAATTGGTTGGGTAATAAGTAGCAGAACCAGGAATCAAGCTTAGATATTCTTGCTTACGAGGCCTTGCTTTTTCTATGTCCCCACCCTTCCACCCCCCAAAACACATCTATTACCCTCAAGTTCAATGAAATGGGAATAGATGCTTTGTGAGAATTGTGTTTTGTGGTCAAATAATTTCAGAAAATTCTGGCTTTAATTTAAACAGATCTCTTAATCCAAGTCTTCTCAGAGCCTATAATATACTAATATACATTGTGAGTATCTAATAGGGAAATAATGGTCTTTACTGTTCCCTGAACTTCTTTGTCTGTGGAACCCTTTGAAGGATCTATTGAATGAATACCTTATGAGTGCTGGTGCTCTGGGGGAAATAGTGTGGGCATCTCTAAAGGTTATTTAAATATCCTCAAACCTTAAAGGGCAAAGAAATACAATTTTAGTGATAGAATTGTAGGCACTCTACCGGATGTGGGAGGTATTTTGGAGAACCACCCTGAGTTTATTCAAACCATACCATGTAAGTTAAAGCTTCTTTCTTCCACTGATTCCCCTGCCTCTGAACATTCTGAATAGCACTTAAATTTAAACACGTCTCTGACTATGTAAAAATCCAGGAGGATTAAAAAAGAAGGAAAGAAAACAACATATTTTAACCACCGAGACTACTGTCATTCCTTTCCCCTATGGACCTAATGTTGTAAAAATTGCTGTCCACCAAACTGTTTTTAATAAACAGCAATAAGTTGATTACAACAATTCTCAACTATGGTGGACATCCATGATTGTTTCTTCTAGATTTTTTTCTCCTCCTTCTTGGTAATAGCACTTGTAAGGTGCTCTTGGAAAAGTTGTTCCTCTCTCCTTTTCTTAACTATTTCATGTGACTGGTGCTTTTAGTTAGAGTTCTCCAGGGAAACAGAACCAATGGGCTGGATGGATAACTAGCTAACTAGCTAGCTAGATATTAAGGAATTGGCTCACATGAATGTGGAGGCCGGCAAATACAAAGGCTGCAGCATTCCCAACATGCTGGAGATCCAACGAAGAGTTGAGGTTGCAGATCAATTCCAAAGGCAGAGAATTCCCGCTCTCTCAGGGAAGCTCCGTTTGTTTCTTAAGGCCTTCTTACTTGATTGGATAAGGCCCACTCACCTTGTAGAAGGCAACTTCTTTATTCAAAGTTTACTGAATTAAATGTTAATACCATCCAAAAATAGCTTCACAGAACCATCTACAATAGTTCTCTGGGTATCATGGCTTACCTCAGTTGGCACACAACATTAGCCCTCATGGTGGCATTGACACCAATCCTGGGATGCAGCTACACATGTAGGGGTGGGAAGGGAGGAGGAAACCTGTCTTGGCCTAAGCCAGTCAGTGCCTCACATTCAGTTGGAGTAAAGCTTGGGACCTACTGGAAACACTGGGACACAAACTCTTTTTCTTCTCCTCTGAATTTGAAATGGAAATATCTAAGATGTAAAGCTGATGTGGTTGCCTGTTGCACTTCCAGAGTTAAATAGTCAATTCACACTGAGAGGAAGCCACTCTGAGCGGAAATCATGTGAGTCTGGTAGGCCACCTGAGTGCTGCATGGGTTTGGTCCTAAAATTGAACCTTGCACTACCCACTTACCCAACTCAATATTAATTCTCAGTTTTTGCTTGAGCCAGATTCATACAACTGAAAGGATCCGAACTGATAGGTCACCAGGGTTTATGCTCAGCATAAGAAATCTTTCGTTGTCAAAATTAATCTTTACAAATTAACCATTCTGGTTTCTGCTTAAGCTAGGATGATTGCCTAAACAACCCAGTGGAAACTGCTGAGTACCTAAGAAACTCCTGCTAAAGAAGTTTTCTGTCACTAGAGGGCATCAGAGCCCACATCGTCCAAGTGACAAAATTAAATTTTGTTTCCATCATTTGGCAGAAATATATTTGAATCCTTGGGAACAGAAGAGAGAGGACGGAGAGCTTTGATTTGTATAGGTAGTCTGTGAACCTGATAATACAGACATTTTCATTTCCCTGAGAACCCTTTTCTTAAAAAACAAACAAACAAAAAAAAAAAAAAAAAACGGGATTGGGCGGTGCCTGTAGCTCAAAGGAGTAGGGCGCCAGCCCCATATACCAGAGGTGGCAGGTGCAAACCCAGCCCCAGCCAAAAACTGCAAACAACAACAACAACAACAACAAACAGGATTATAGAAATGATATATGCAAAGCACCTAGTACACACAATAAATTCTAATCACTACTTTTACATTGCTCTTCCTAGATGTCTTTGTAAGACAATTTGCTAATTTGGAGTCACAGTTCAGGTGGAAAGAAAAACAAATGATATATTTTAAATCTCCTTTCCTGGACTTCTTCCTGTATGAGGAAAAGCTTCCCGGAAAGCTTAGCCACCCTGATACGGAGCAAGTGATTAAAGCTCCAGAGTTTTCCCACTGAGAAGAAAATAGGGAACACTTTTTGGGAGACACTGATCTGAGGCACATGAAATTTAGTCCTGAGTGGGCTTAGTGTGTACAGCAATATATTTCTCCCCCCTTTTGCCCTTTCTGTGGTCCCCTTATAGATGTATATTAAGTATATATTTAGCTTATATAGATTTTTAAATTGACTTTCTTTGTTACTTCAGTAATTTTGTTTTTAAAATAAAATATTATATTATAACCATACATGGAAAATCAGTATTCCCTGCCAAAAATAGAAGATATTCATAAAAATAAATATACAACCATTGAAATAAAATATTTGCCTGCATGCCACTAAAAATTCTTTCCCAAATCACCAGTGGCAAGGGCATAGTGCTTCTGTAAAAGGTTGGCTGGAGGCCTGGCAGTGCCTTTTCTCTGCTTTAGCTTTCCTCTCGGCCCCCAGGTGACCACCAGGCCTGGGTCTCAGACCCTCCACAGGAGAATGGAAGGGGAGTGACGGGAAGGAACAGAAGCAGGTGTCAGAGCACAATGGGGAGGCATGGTTGTTATCTTTCAAGCCCCTTCTAGTGCCAGGGCAGTGGGATAGGGACCCTGTATAGGGCAGCATGAGAAATGCTTTGTTACAAGAACTTAAGGGGAATGATGGGTGGGTAAGAGAAAGGACGGCAGTGAGTGATGAGGAGCTGGAGAGAGTGGATGTTGAGGGGCGAGTAGGGGAGCCAAAGGCTAATTTAAAGCACAGAGCACATGGACAGGAGGGAGCAGTAGATGGTCTTCTGCAAAAGGCAGCCTCCGTCAACTGACACAGGAACTGTTGTTACTATCTGGCACAGCTGGGAGGGGAAAAAAGCGTGAGAATTTTGATCCATGCACCTGATCATAAAGACATTTTCCTCTTCCTGAGAACACCCCATGCTGGCAGTGTGTCCTTGAAGGATAGACCTGTGGATTCAAGTCCTAGTTTACTTTGCTAGTTGTCCATAATATGGAACCTCTTGCAGTC